ATGTTACCTAGTTGGGTAATAAAACGTCTGCAAGGAAACAACCAAGCATCAGAGAGCACCAAGGATCCCACTTCCCCATATTGTCTAAAACATTTGCTTGTGTGCTACAAGCACATTAGACTGACTCTAGGGGGACAGCTGATTCATTTCTACATCCTAGGTATGACTGAACATTGCATGGACAGAAAGTATAAATTCTAGCCAGGATAACTTGACATGTTGTATTTGTGATCTTGGAAAAGAAGGTGGTTGGAGCTTTCTCTTACCAGAATAGTGGTTTACGAGGTCCTCAAGACATTGAAACGTTTGCCGAGGGGAGATGTAATACCAATTGTTTGGCAAGCGGAAGATCCGGTAATGTTTCACATTCGCGTGCCGGACTGACAGCGAATAAAAACCTGGAGGGAAAGCAAAGTTGCTATAATAAGAGTCCCCGTTTATACTTCAGTTGCAACAACAACAACACACGAGCTCACAATAGATACAAACCTATGGTAAATCGCTCCAAACTCGATTGCAGAAAATACGACTTTAGAAACAGAGGGGTCAATGCCTGGAATGCACTGCATGACTCTGTGGTTTCTTCCCCAAACCCCCAAAACTTTAACCTTAAGACTGTCTACTGTCGATCTCACCCCATTCCTAAGAGGTCTTTAAGGGGCATGGATAAGTGCACCAGAGTGCCCACTGTCCCTATCCTAATATTCCTTTGTATCCCTTATATATTCCCTAGATCACTGTTCCTCAACCTTGTCAGTTTGAAGATGTGTGGACTTCAACTCCCAGAATTCCTCACCAGATTCAATCCTTCTTTAACATCTGTTTCACACAGTTTCTCATTCTTGAGTGTGATGCTCATGTTTGCCCTTTCCGTCAGCTAGATATCTCTAATTGGAAAAAGAGATATCTAGGGTTACTATATTGTTTCCCTGGGTGGGGCCAGCCAGTCCTTGTAACTACCAGATCAGTGAACTAGATGTAAAATTAGCATCCGGTTCACTCGAACCGGTCCAAACCAGCTGAATCCCACCCCTAACCTCGTCCTACGAATTTGCCTATAGCTTTTATACTCTAGGGCAGTGATGGTGAACCTTTTTTGGCTCCTGTGCCAGAAACGGGGAGAGCACAGGTGGGGGGTCATGCACTGGCATGCCACACCCATAATGCTATGTGTGTGATCCCCCTGCTTTTGCCATGACTTTTTCATTCTCTCCAGGCTCCAGAGGCTTTCTAGGAGCCTGGGGAAGGCAAAAACAGCCTCCCCCACCCCCCAGACGCCCTCTGGAGGCCTCAGGAGCTTCCCTAAAGCCTCTGGAGGGCAAAAAACAGACCTACGGGGAACTGGAGGTTCAGGAATGGTGACTTCCGGTTTGTCCATAGAGCTGATTTTCGACCTCCGGAGGCTTCAGGGACCTTCAGGAGGCTTCCCTGAAGGCTCCAGAAGGCGAAAAACAGTCCTACGAGCAAACCTGAAGTCCATTCCTGAACTTGTGGTTTGCCTGTAGGGCCAGTTTTTCGCACACCGGAGGCTTCTTTTGAGGCCATTTTGCGCCTGCTGGAGGCTGAAGCCTCCAGAGGGTGCAAAATGGCCTCAAAAGAAGCCTCCGGTGTGCGAAAAACTGGCCCTACAGGCAAACCACAAGTTCAGGAATGGACTTCAGGTTTGCTCGTAGGACTGTTTTTCGCCTTCTGGAGCCTTCAGGGAAGCCTCCTGAAGNTGGAAGGCTGAGTCAACCCTGAGCCGGTGAGATTTGAACCGCTGAACTGCAGATAACAGTCAGCTGAATTCAGCTGAAGTGGCCTTCAGTACTGCACTCTACCCACTGCGCCACCTCGGCATATAAAGAGAAGTTAATGAATCCTGCTGAATCAGTTACCTGTGTGCGCTTTCTGGATTTGATTTCTGCAAGAAATTCTGACAAAGATGACCCTGACTTATTGGGAAACGCTTTAGATTTTTAATGCAGTGGGGAAGTTCCACCACTGGATGTGGTCCTTTCGATTTAAAAACCAAAAGGAGGGTCAGAACGTACAGGGGTACTGTACCTGTCTGTGACTCTTTAAAGCAGCTGCATCTTTCCCCAGCATCATATGATTGCCCCATGTCATGTATCCCATGATCTCAGGAAAAGATAGGTTGGGTGTAAGAAGCCACAGACAGGTGCTACATTCCTGCCTCTGTTCTCTCTACCACCCCTTATTCATGCCTTCAAAAAGCTCTCGAGGCCTGCTCAGTTTTTCTGCTTTTCCTGTTGTTCATAATCAGGCGTTTAAGGGTTTCAGTTCTGAACCCTGAAGTGGTTGTGGAGAAACAAAAGAGGGAGGTGTTAACTGTCTGTTGTGCTTTTTCTCCAATTTAATCAGATGAAGAGGTTTTGGAGAGAACTATGGTTTTTGAAACAATAGAGGAGGCTCTGGTAATCCCTTCAGAATCAACCAACTTTACTGGGGCATAATTATGTGACTTCAGATGGAAATTCTTCATCTGTGGAAACAACCAGGATACGTTTAAATTTCACACAAATGCAAGTCCTTGGCCATGAATTAGTGTGTTTCCTAGCAGATTCATCTCAGAACAAAATTTTGCATCTTTATCTAGTAGTCCCTTCAGAATTCAGTGAAACGTATAGATCAGCAATTTTTTCACAGGCTGGAGGTCACCATGCAATGTTGAATGTGATGATCTGAGTGGAAAGAGAAAAGGACAGAACAAGAAAGAAAGAAAAAGAAAAAGAGGGAGGGAAGAGCGAGAGAAAGGAGGGAAGGAAGAAGGAAGGAGGGAAGGAGGGAGGGAAGGAGAATTCCATGTTCTTGCATAATTCTTCTTGCAAGATTTCAGTATTCTGTTTACTGAAATGACACAATATGGAGGTGTCAGTGATTTGCAGTGAAAGATCTTGTGAGTATGGAGGATCCAGAATATCCCAGAAGTTTCACTTTTCCAAATTATCATTAATTACTCATGAATCATAAAGTATACTAGATCATCTTAGAAAACTAGGAACCTCTGCTATTTTCAGTTAAAATTGCAACTCCTCCACAGTAGATATTTTTGGCCCTGGTCAACTTTGGCTGCAATGAGGATGACAAGTTAGCAATGCTAAGATAAGGGCAAAATTAATGAATATTATTTATGGCTGACCTTAGTTCTCAATCCACAGCTTCTTTAACTGTTTCAGTTGTTAATTGATGTTAATGTTTAATTGTTTTATTCTGAGCTGTCTACAGGACTGTATGTTTTAAACTACTTTTTATTAATTTGTATTTGTGGCAACGTAGAGTATGTGGGAGAGGGCAGCAACTATAATACTGTATATTTCAATTAACAACAATAACAACAAACCTATCATTTATTGTGACAGGGAGGGAATCTACCAGTGCTGGTTTTCTTCCACAACAGCCTAAATGCTGATGATCAAGACAAAAAGGCAGCCCTTGATGGAGCCTACTTAGCCGGAGTTGGAAATCTCATTGTCGTAACTGCAAATTACCGTGTAGGAGTTTTTGGCTTTTTAAGCACTGGTGAGTTGTATCTCAGTTTGAAAATAGGACTTTTAATGATAAAACCAGAATTATTCCAGCTGGGTCTTATGGAAATGGAATTAGGAAAGAAATATGGAATTTAATACTGTATTGGAAACTGCAATGAGATTATTGTTTGCACAAAATTGGAAAAGCAATGACAAAGCCCCAGTGGAAGATTGGATTAAAAAGTTAATTGAGTTTGCAGAAATGAGAAAACTGACCATCTTGCTCAGATAAAAATGGACAAATAATTTTTTGATCGATTGCAAACTTTATATGGACTTTTAAAAAAAAAACAAGAAGCAAATATCAGATCAATGATTTGGGGAGAATCTCTGGTCACGACCATATTTTGTTCCATAACTTTGGTGGCAACCCCATTTGGTTGTGACCTGAACCTAATTTTGTAAATTTGGCGATTACAAAAAAAATGGTGTAGAAGGGGAAATCGGCCGCTAAAAAAAAATTGCATTAACAGAAGGATACAATCAAGATCAAGTGAGGGACTAATACCACTCTATAAAGCCCTAGTAAGACCACACCTAGAATACTGCATCCAGTTTTGGTCACCACACTATAAAAAAGATCTTGAGACCAGTGGTGGGTTTCAAATATTTTTAGAACCTCTTCTGTAGGTGTAGCCTGCTTTGTGGGAGTGGCTTGCTGACCATGTGACTGGGTGGGCGTGGCCAACTTGTAAAATGTGGTGAAACTCACTTAACGATGCTCTTGCTTAGCAACCAAAATGTTGGCTCAGAAACTCTGGCATTTGAAGCATGCAAGTCTTAAAGCTGTCAAGTTACAAGGCCCTTGCACTCCTAACCCTTTAAAAAAAAACTCCCAGGGGTGTTCAAACTTGACAGCTTTAAGACTTGTGGACTTCAACTCCCAGAATTCCCCCTCTTGCTCTTCATCTTGATGATGTGCGGATGGCTGGGGGGGGGGGAGCTGGAACCGGTTCTAAACAGTACTATAGATTTGTGAAACCTCTTCTATAGAAGAGGTTAGAACTGGCAGAAACCCACCCCTGGTTGAGACTCTAGAAAAAGTTCAGAGAAGAGCAACCAAGAGGATTAGGGGATTGGAGGCTAAAACACAATGCAATGTATTTTAATCCTCCCCCCCGGAAAAAAAATGAAAAATGAACATAAATCAATGGTGTGTCAGCCATTTGAGATAATATGAATTTGTGAGAAGACCTGGAGCTCATAAACATAATAGTGGAGGCCATAGATGGTGAACCTATGGCATGGGTGCCAGAGGTGGCACACACAGCCCTCCCCATGGGCCCTTGCACTGTTGCCAGCTACTCTTCCTGTTTCTAGTGTGCAGCTGGTCTTCACGGACACCGGAGCACCAGAAAATGGCCCATAAATGGGCAAAAAACAGGTCATTTTCCAGCCCATTTTTAGGCCATTTTCAGGCTGTTTGGGGGGCATTTTCAGGCCAAAAACAACCTGAAAACAGCCTGAAAAGGGCCCAAAAAGCAGGCATAGCACACAGGCCAGCTAGTTTTTGGGTTTCCGATGCTCAAGTATACACGAAGTCTATCTGGTCAGCACGTGATGGAAACCTGAAGACCAGCTGGCACTGTGCACTGGCCAACTGGCCTTCGGGTTTCCGGTGCTCTGGTGCGCACACATGTATGTGCATGCACACACGTTCCTGTTCGGGCACTCGGTGCCAAAAAGGTTCACCATCACTGCCATAGAGCCTCCATAAATTGTCCATCTTCAATAAGGTCCTTGGTGCTCTGTGAGTTTGATGGTTTTCTTGCTACTTAGTTTGGTTAAATTTCATTTACCAACCTAGGTAGTACCATCAGTGCGAGTAGGTAGTGGATAATGAGAGTAAACCCCACTACTTACTAGCACTGATGATGTCACCCAGTTTGGTAATGAAACATCTGCAAGAAAAGCCACCAAACTCCGAGAGCACCAAGGACACCACAGTTCAATCCTGAGCACTTTATTCTGTTGGAATCCTTGGTCCACATTGACTGTGAGCAGCTTCTCCGAAAGTGAAAAATGCTTTTTACTACATGATAATGATTGTGCTACTTCTGTTCTTGTATCTGTAGTAAAGGTCGTTCTAGCTAGTCACCGTTGGCAAAAAAATCTGTTGCTGCTCAAGATTAGGTTGGCTATTCAAATCCATATCTGGCACACTGTTCCTTATTGTCTTTAAAAAGCTTTTCCTAATGTTCAGTCACAATTTACCTTTGCATAACTTCGAAATATTATTCTTTCTAAGCCTGCATGTTTTGGACAACTATGATCATATGTTGCGATCATAGTTGTCCAAAACATGCAGGTTAGAAATATCTAAGGACAGGGCAGGAGCTAAGACAGTCTTTTTTCAACTAATTGTCCTCCTGGAAAGTCTTGATCTTCTATGCGACATTCTTTCTTTCCAGATATTTGAAACGCTGTAAGTTGTTTTGATCTCTTGTGCCAATGTACAACCCACCCTTTGTTTATTTATTTGTGTAGGTTCTAGTGTTGCAAGTGGAAATTGGGGCCTTTTGGATCAAGACATGGCTCTACAATGGATAAGGAGGAACATTGCAAGGTTTGGGGGAGACGCGGGACAGATAACAATTGGAGCCCCTGACAGGGGAGCAGATATTATCAGCCTTCACCTCCTTAAGAGAACTTCGAATCCAATCCTGTTCAAGAGGGCACTACTGATGGTAAGTCCTATTTATTTTCAGATGAGTAAAGGGTTAGAAATTCTGTTTATATATAGCACCACAGAGCAAACAAAGAACACAGTCACCATGTGCTTTACTGCTCAACTATTTGACTGTAACAGGAAACTCAGAACAAAAGAGCATAGAGTTGTATACCATAGATCCAAACTTGCAAGCACTGCCATCTACTGGCTGAATAGTACTGTAATGGCTTCATAAAGATACATTCCAACAATGAATTCCAACATAAGGACAGGTACTGAAGCTCATAAACTTTGGCCACCTAATGAGAGAAAAAAAGCTTCATTAGAAAAGATTGGGAATGATTGAAGGCAAAAGGAGAAAGGGATAGCAGAGGATGAGATGGTTAGATAGTGTCACCAATGCAATGAACATGAATTTGGCCAAACTGTGGGAGACACTGGAGGACAGGAGGACCTGGAATGCTATGGCCCATGGAGTCGTAGAGGATCGGACATGACTTAGCAGCTGAACAACAACTGAGATGTACATGAAAAAATAAGATTCCAGTTGAGTGTAAAACAGGTGTTGAATTGTTAAAAATATTTTAATATCACAGGAGATGTATATACATAAAGATGCACACATGTGCATAGTTTTCAGCACTGTCCAAGGATCATGCATGAATAAAGTCCACCCGGCATAAATAAATATAAATATGGGTATATGTAGGGCATCTGTGAGATTGGAGATGAGATCTCAGTTATCTAGGAATGATGTCGATGAGCTTTCCAAGAGCGCAGGCAACATCTACTCAAAGTGCTAATTCGCATTCGTCTTGGTAACTCCCAAGTTGGCTTTTCTCAGATTCAGTCCTCATGATACAGGAAACCAGGTTGGGATTGGTGGTTGCTCCGACAGATCATAGACTGCGTCTTTTTGGCTTTCTTTCTCACGAGAGAAGAATTGTCGTCCATAGTTAGGGCAAGGTAAGAGGCGATGCTGTTTCGGAGACCGTAGCTGAGGCCAGAGTCTTCCAATCTGAGCATGTCTGCAATGTCATCGTCGCACTCCTTGGACCTTGGGAGAAAAGAAAAGGGGCTTAAAAACTTTCATGGTTATAGGAGAGAATATTTGTACAGGGGTGGTCTAGAGCCGAGGTGGTGCAGTGGTTAGAGTGCAGAACTGCAGCCACTTCAGCTGACTGCTAAGCTGCAGTTCGGCGGTTCAAATCTCACTGGCTCAGGGTTGACTCAGCCTTCCATCCTTCCGAGGTGGGTGAAATGAGGACCCAGACTGTGGGGGCGATAT